AGCAGCAGGAGGGTTTAGAGGACGTGGGGCTCCGCAGGCACCTCCTTGAGCGGCCCGGGACATCCCGGGCTCCTTTTCCCGCAGGGCGGCTCCTTGAGCTGAGACTCGCCTACCTCGCGGGGTTGTTGTGAAGATAAAAGGGCAGGGGACACCCAGTAAAAGGGGGAGCTTCTCGATAGCTGCAGCGGCCTGGCAGCGACGGCGGGAGTTCGTTCCGGCTCCTCGCCAAAGGGTTGCGTGTCTCTGGGAGCCTCGCCTCTTCTTCCTTCTGCCCGGCTCGGGCAGGCTCTGCACGAACCCAGCCGGGGGTGGGGAGCCAGCGCGGGGGGCGCCAGGCGCTCCGAGGGCGGCCCCCGGTGGCCTGAGGACGTGTAACAGCCAGGAGGAGCGTCTCCGGGAGCCGAGCCTGCCGAAGGCGCAGGGCAGGGACGGAGGTGGGGGCAGCAGACGGGCGGGCCGGCGGGCGGCCAGGCCCGAGAAGAGTTGCTCCTGCTCCTGTTGCGGCTCTTGCTCGTTTCGGAAGCGAGCGAGGAGCTAGGCCCGAAATCGGTCTGCCTGCGGTTCGGGAGCAGGGGAGTCCCTCTGAACGCCTCCCCACCATTGAGCCCTCAGAGCGGAGAGATTCGTGGTTACGTGCCTCGGTCTGCCGAGCTCCGGATAAGACGAGCCGGACACGCGGCAGTCAAAGTCACAGGGAATACCACCCTGCGGGAAGGGGCGTTGGGTCAAGGCGGCTGCCTGGGGGGTCTGCTGGGCCACTGCCAGCCGGCCAGCTGCTGTAGGAGGGCGGCCTCCGGCCTCACACACGCTCGCCTGGATCATCCTGTTGGATTCCTGCCCTGCCCTTGGACCCCACTGCCTTCAGAGGTCACCCCCAATGGGAGGGGGGCTTGGCTTGGCTAATAGCCTGCCCCACTTGTTCTGTTTTGGGGCCACAACCCATTTCCATTTGGGATGCCTGCAGCATCAGAACTCTCACCCTACAGACTCAGGAATGGTCAATTACCCCCAGCCCCATTTAGTCAGCTGGAGGGGCCCCAGCAGTTCCCTCCTGCCTAGCATTGGAGGTAGCCCGGAGGTCTCCAGCCCCCGGGGGGGGGCATGGCTCAGCCTTCTGCCCTTTGGGAAGTCAGAACCCGGCATGTTTCTACCCCCCCACACCAAGGCTTTGGAATGGACAGTGGAACTCTGCCTGCACCCCAAATTCTATTTCTGCCTCTGAGGAAGGAAACCAGCACGGGGTGGGGGGGGCGCAGCAGAGCAGGGAACTTCCTCCAGGCCTGGGGTTTCCCATCTGACAGGGTAGAGGGGCTTGCTTGATGCAACCCAAGGAATGTCCCCCCATCCCAGACTGCAAAATTCCAGGAGGGGCCACTTCCCCATTTGCTGTTAGGCTTGGCTGAAAGTCTTGCTGGGAAAAGGCGGTGTTGTGGGTGGACCCACGGCCATGGAAAGCCCCTCCCCATTCCCCATCTCATCAACAGGAATAACCCCTGCAACCTACTCCTTTCCCTAATACAAGGCGGCTCCATTTCAGCCACGCGAAAGCTCCATTTAAAAGGAAGGGAAGGACATGCTACAAGTCCTGTGTGGCTGCCTCAGTAACCCCCTAAGCTCTGAGAGCAGGTTAACGAAACGCAGCTGATGTGTTCCTCTGCCATGCTGGGCTCCCCCCGCATATCCAGGTGCTGAGACAGAGTTTCTCCTGGTGAACCTAAATGACTCAGTCCCTGTGGGTAAGACTGAGGACTAGCTGCTTGTGACAAAGCTTTCCAGGAAACAATGGCGCCCCGGAGAAGGTTTTGTTCACGAGCGTGGCCAGAGAAAGCGGCGCAATCGGCACCCACCACGCTTACTATGACAGAAGTTCCACAGATTCAGCCCAATCTGTAATGTCAGAAGAAAATAAAATGCAGACCCTACAGGCAATTGTAAATAGTTAGTGGATTTGTAGTGGATGCTCGGAACATAGCTGCCGATTGTGGCGTGGATGTCTTGAAGCGGGCCGGTTCTGATGCAGCAGTCGGCGAGTATTTATTTATACAGTATTTAAAATTCTAGGCTGCTCAACTGCAATGACTCTGGTGGCTAACACAGAAAAAATCAGAATAAAATCCCCCGGGGCGGGGGGGGGGGGGGGGGACAACAGCCCACTCTCCCCCGCTCCCGTGCACAGGAAAACAAAAGCCC